ATGATTGCACATGGGTGGATGTTTTGTGTGATTATGTCATGGAATGATGATCATTGTTAATTGTACTTAATTCTTGTGTGGTTTACATGTGAGTATGACCCTTCATTTTACCTCAAGTGTCTATGTCGGATCCTTGACTGTCTAAGTCGGATCCTTACCTCTCCAACATAGATTGGGTATAAACGTACTTTTAAGTGTCTTGTTGGGAATTGCTTCATTATGGATCAAAACATGGAACTTAGCTGAGTCAGACTTGTACATGAATCTGTGGCTACCTTAAATTGTACTTTTTTTCCTACCAAAGTGTTACCGGCCATGATTAATAGTAGAAGAAATTGTAGTTTTACATGAGCTGTCTGAGTATTTTGGTGCTGGGATGTTTTCTTTCATGCACTAGAAAGTAGAGAGTCAGCGTGATGATTTTGCTACTAGTTTTTCTCCGCGACACTGCTTTTACTTACATTCTAGGCTTGTCAAGTATCTGATATGTTAGTCTAATGTTTGCTCAACAACTTTGTTTATGACACAGATTTGGTACGATAATGTCCCTCACCCAAAGCTAGTAGACTACAAGAAGGATCAGCATTGGGTTGTAAAGTCAGGTGATCATTTTATTTTTCCTGGAGGTGGAACTCAATTTAAGGAAGGTGTTGCAAACTATATCCAGTTTATTGAAAAGGTATATTTCTCGATTTAGTTTTGTTATTTAAAAACATCACAGAAATTTATGATGCTAGATTGCTAGTACGAGTACTACTTTGGTTGAAGATAGAATTTTTATACTACATAACTGCATCTGATGTCTGATATACTTTAGGGTAGAACATATCCACCTTCCTGGCCGAAAAAATTTATATTTAATGGAATACTACAATATTATATTCTGACTTTAAAGGTCTTTCCCTGACTAAAGTGATAACTTATAAGTTGTCTCTAGATTGAAATGTCATCTTCTCACCCTGGTCTTATGCTAAGTTTGTTATTACAAATTTATGACAGTTATGAAAATTACAAGATTTGTCTTTATTTGTACAAGATTTCAGAGTTTAATTAGAACCTGTGTCAACTTGTAGCAGAATTTTCCAACTTTTCTCATTTGCTTGTAAATAGTCTTCGTTGCTCTATATGCCTTTAAGTTGACTCTTCTTTTACTCTTTATTAGGCTACACCCCTTGTCAAATGGGGTCAAAACATCAGGGTTGTTCTGGATGTTGGTTGCGGAGTTGCCAGCTTTGGAGGACATTTGTTGGATAAAGATGTTCTCACCATGTCATTGGCCCCTAAAGATGAACACGAAGCTCAAATACAGTTTGCTCTAGAACGTGGAATTCCTGCATTTCTTTCAGTTATTGGAACTCAACAACTAACATTTCCAGATAATGCCTATGATCTCATTCATTGTGCTAGGTGCAGGGTTCATTGGGATGCAGATGGTACGTCCTGAGAGCCACCTTATACTTTTGTTTGATTTCTCATGTGTCTCATTCTATAGTTTTCTGCAACATGATAATAACTAAGGTGATTCTAAACTGGAAAATAAGGGATTGTATCAGAGCATAATTTGTGCAGTATTTAATTACTTAGTATGACTACTAAGAAAAATTTGTGTTTGTTAAACTGCAGCTTAGCCACTCAATTTCGATGCTCTTTATTTATAGTTTTATACCTGCTAATGTATTACACAATACACAAGCAGTATCTTAATTTCATTTATCTGGATCTTGGGGATGAAAGTCATATGTTGACAAATATGATGGGAGGGAAATTTAATTTGGATTAGGCTTTAGTAGTGGATTACTGGAAGGCAATTCAAGTTCATTGATTTGAGAAGACCAAAGCGCTGCCACAATTATCAACTATAGCTCCTTCACTTAATTCATTGTTCAGTTATATCTACTATCCTTATTCCTCTCTTAGCTTGCATCATTCATAAATCAAACTTGTAGATTTGTATATACACCACTGGTGAAAATGTTTTTCTGTATAACTTGGTCCTTTTATCAGTCTTATGATATCTCTCTTTCTAAGTCTCTTGTTCTTCTGTCTTCTGTGGAAGATTATGCATTAGAGTTCTTAAGGATTGTGTTTCTCTTGAGCATAGGTTGAGTTTGGACAAAATTGACAGATTTGGAATGTAGAGTATCTGGTTAGAGCAAGTGGAATGAAAATGCCAGTTGATAGTTTCTTCTGCATTACATTACAGTAGCTTTTGTTTATCCAACTTGAGTTTTGTTTATTGGTCAACATGTCTGTTTGATACGCTTGTCAGCTTTTGAGTGAAGTAATTTACTTTGCTATGTTTAGCTGCCCAATCAGTAAGGACTTTGTATTTGATCTGCCTTATGTTCTTATTCATATTTTGTCTTGTAGGTGGCAAACCTTTATTGGAGCTTAACAGGATTCTCAGGCCCGGGGGGCTCTTCATTTGGTCTGCTACACCAGTCTATCGCAAAGATGAAAAGGACGTGACCGTATGGAACTGTATGTTCATTTCGTAACAGGGAGCTTGATGTCAAGAAGTGTTGAATATGTCTGTGATCTCTGTTGTATGTTTTCTTTTTTTTGCAGCCATGGCCGCTTTAACGAAATCGATGTGCTGGAAGGTAGTGGCTAAGACCATGGCGTCAACAGGTATTGGGCTTGTGGTGTATCAGAAACCTGTCTCTCCATCCTGTTACAAGGAACGTGAAAAGAATGAACCGCCAATGTGTGAAATGGGGAGAAATATGTCATGGTACTCACCTCTTCAAAAATGTCTTCCCCAGCTTCCGCCTGAAGCTTCCAGTTGGCCTCCTCTTTGGCCCAAAAGGCTTACTGCCAAACCATATAGCCTCCCTTCAGCACCACTTGTGGAACAAGCATTTCATAATGACACCCGTGACTGGCATGCTCTCGTGACAGATGTTTACATAGGTGGCCTTGGAATAAACTGGTCAAGTGTGCGTAATGTAATGGACATGACTGCTGGTCACGGAGGGTTAGTTTTTTTACCAAGTGACCTTACCTTTGTTAGTTTGTTCTCTGTACGTATTGGTTGCCCTTGTTTATCAAATTTTATAGCAGAATTGCTTTATTCTGATCAGTTTTTGCATACTACTGTTTGTTGAGCACTTGATTCTTATAGCATTAAGAGAGGAATTATTTAAATGCTATGTCTTCAAATTTTGCTATTCGTTCATTACCATACCTGATCAACTTTGCAACGTAGACTGGCACAATTAAAATTGATTTGTGTTTTAAAATTTTGACATATCAAACGTTTTTACAGATTTGCTGCAGCACTTATTGATATGCCACTGTGGGTGATGAATGTTGTTCCAGTCCATGAGCCAGATACACTTCCCATAATTTTTGACCGAGGGTTAATTGGAGTATATCATGATTGGTGTGAATCTTTCAACACTTATCCAAGGACTTATGATCTCCTGCACTCTACTTTCCTCTTCAGCAATCTCCCAAACGGGTAAAACTGCAAATATTTACCTTTATAGAGTTCATTTTTCTATAAATGTCTGTTCTTTCAGAGTGAAGTTCTTCACTGATATCAAGTGAGTCAGTTCAACCATATTGTTTTCATCTATTTGATGATCTGAAGTTTTGTGCCATTCAGGTGTGACATCATAGATTTGGCTGCAGAGATTGATCGCATTGTAAGACCAGGTGGGTGGGTAGTGATTCAAGAAACCAAAGAACAGATCAACAGCATAGGAGCAATTTTTCGTTCTCTTCAGTGGTCCGTGAATCTCTACAATGATCGATATCTTGTTGGCCAGAAAAGTTTCTGGCGTCCTCATGGTGGTCGGGTGCAAAGATGAACAAAGGCACTAAGCAAAGAAATGAACAAGTACGACATTCTATTGTATTTTTCAATGCAATTTTACCATTCTTTTGATACCACATATCACGTATGGATGGTTAGTATGTATAAGGATTTCCTGGAATGTTCTGATTACATGCCTTATAGAGGCATGCTTGGAATGAGGGAAATTATTTAAGGGATGATATAGTTAGATAATGACGTGTTAAATAAGCGAGAATGGTGGTGCACTTGAAGGCAGAGGAGGTGGTCTATTACCTTAACAACCACCCCCGCCTCCACCCACTTTGCAACTTCTTATTTAACTCTTATTATCTCCCCTTAAATAATTTACTCCATCCCAAGCGAGCCACTGAAGATGAAATGAAGGAAAAATTATGTTAGGAATGGTCTCTGCATAATGTTTACGATCTTTTTTCCCTGGTTGATTCTGCTCTTCCTGTGCTGTTATTAGCAGGTGGTGCTAAATTAGAACAAACACATTTAAACAAACAGAAGCACTAGTAATAAATTTACATAAGTAAAGATGGCCTGAGCCAAATACTTTTGATCCAACATGATGTTAATACAACCTCGTGCCTGCAGCGCACATCCACATTAATCAGGTGTTTTCTTAAAATAGGGACCATTAGAAATTGCTACAAATTTGTACTTAGAATAAGGAAGATATCAAGAGAGACTGCTTACACAAGCAGAAATTAAGATATCAACGCATTAACTAACCTGTAAGAGGCTGTTTATACTTTATACTCCTCGACGTTTCAAATGGTTTGTGTACATTAAAGGAGAGTCGAGAAAAATACAATTCAGTAAAGAGAGTTATATCAAGTGTGCAATGTTTGATCATAATCGCAAGAAAAAAGAGTTTTAAAAACAGCCATTGCAACATATGGCACTATGGCAGTATAAAACTTCATTCCTCAAACTCCGAAAATAACTCGTTACACGGGAACAATTTCAACAGGTATAAAAAAACAGTAGCACATTACACACATTCAAAATTTCAAACAAACAGAAACAAAGATACAAGTAATGTAATTTACAAAGGTAAAGTGGAGACATGATAGCCAGAGTGCATAAATAATGAGTATAACCTAAGCACTGGCCACATGATACATTATTGTTCTAACAGTGAAGCTTCAAAAGCTTTCATAATCATGCAAAATCAAGAGTTCTGTTAAGTCTACCAAGCACTCAATAAATCATTGTGATCATTGTTGAGAGAAGAGCAAGCGACAATTGAATCATCCCTTAGAAGTATCCCATCAGCTGCCTCAGCGTTCCTTGAAAAGCAGCTACTTCCCTTCCAGCTCAAAGTTTGACGAGTTACAGCTCTACCGGAAAGAACTGAATGGTCCTTTACCATCATTGAACCCTCTGATTCTTGAGTGTTTTGAAGGGTTGTTTTCACATTCCCATCAGTGGACTTCACTTTCAATTCGTTTGATATGGTTGTAGTCATCACCTCTGTATCTATCTCCGGTCCAGGGATCGTTGAAGTTACAATCTGAAGTGGATACTGACGTTTTGATGTTCTTACAGAGACCACTGTACCGTCTTCTGCTACCACCCTCACTTCTGTTTGCACCTTTACCTTTTGCTCAACAGTCTTTTGTGAACCAGCTCCTTGAAACTCAATCGAATTCTTGAATTTCAATTTCTGAGTTATACTAGTGGTAAAATTGCCAGTACTACAATTAACCCATCCAGAAGACTGACTCTTTCTCTCAGCTTCAATCTCAAATGATCCATCCAACTGCTTGAACTTGTACTCCCGCGACTCTTCATATTCAGATGGCTCACTAACAGCCACCATCCCCTCAACCTGAGTCGAGTTCTTGTCCACCCAAACGTGCAAATTCGCATCAACCAACCAAAAACTAAGCGAATTAGCCACCCCAAGCTCAAAAGTATGACTTTCTCCATCCAAAAGGGAACCCAAAAACGGGGTCAACTCAATATCATACGAAGGGAGATCAAATGCCCCAATCGCAACAATTGGATCCCAAGACAACGGATTGATTCCTCCGGTAAAGATAACTGGAAACGGCACCTCAAATGCCACCAACTTCCCATCAATCTTAACAAAAACCTCTCTGTATGCACCATTCCCTCGACGAGTATCCAACTTATTCATTTCAATGTATTGAGTAGGAGGATTCGAGTACCAAAACTCATCATCCCCATGAAATGAAACATACAATTCAAGCACAATCCTCTTAGAATTCATCGGAATCGCAACCCTCTTAAAACCTGGTTCAGATTCATTCTCAATCCTAAACCAATACCCCTGATCACCTTCTTCACCAACAGGAATCACCAAATCAGCTGGTTCATCATAAACCCCACTACCCAAAACCCCAGATTCTAACCCTACCCTAACCCCAGAACCAAACCCTAATTTCCGACTCTTAATTTCGGCAACAACATCATCCTTATAAAACAACATAGTAAGACTAATATTATAAATCCCAGTAAATTCATCATTGACCAAATTCTCAAGCATCATAGAAAGAGAAACATTAGATTGTTCAAGAACAGAGGAATACCTAGTAACATCCTTGTCAACATTCCAGAAAGTTCCATTCTCAGAAGGTTCAGGGGTACTAGTCCGGAGAATCTCAACCCCAGAAAGCCAAACTCCGGCAATACGATCATACTGATCACCGGAAACCTCGCCGGAAAGTTGGAGCACGACGTGAGACCACGGAGGAGGACAAACGGCCGGCGGCGAGTAAAGGACGGTGTAAGGAGGTTGATTGTAGGTGTAAGCGAAGGAGTTGTTGAGGAGAGAGAGAGTGCATTCTGGTGGTGGGAGTGGGAGGGCGGCGGTTGGGAGTGGCGGAGTGAGGGCGATGGATTCGGTTGCAGTGGTGTTGGCGGCGGAAGACGGTGGTTTGAGGAGATGGTGGGGTTGTGAGAAGGTGGTGGAAAGTGAGGTGAGGAAGATGATGAGGAAGATGATGGAGAAGTGGTGGGAGTGCATTTTGTTTGTTTTTTATGAGTTTGAATAATTTTGTTTGATCAAAAAATGGAAAGTTTGTTGTATTTTTGGGTTTTTAGATGGAGGGAGTTATATGGAGGGGTTTTGTTTGACTTTTTATTCCTTAGATTGAGATTTGTTTTTTGTTTTGTTTCACATGGAGGGAAGTTGTAGGAAAAGATCCAATTCAAGTAAAATTATTACCCTCGTTTTTTAGTATCCGTGAATATTTTGGTGAAAAAAATTATATACATCCGATTTTAAGATGTATAAGGTTTATTTTGTTGTCAATTTGATGATTAAATGAGCAATAATTATCCTTAAATTTAATCATCAAAATAAGGACTTGTTTCAATATATAATTTCAAATGTTATAATTTTATAATTTTTATTAATACACAATTGCATGTGTTTAAGGTCAATTTAAACTCGTGCATTTGCATAAATGTCGTTTAAGATTGTTTGATTATTGTAAGAAAGAGCTGAGTAAGATAGGGTAAGATAGAATGTTAAATCTGTTTGTGAATTATGTGATGAGATATGTTAGAGTGTATGTTGAGAGAAGTTAAGTAGTGAGGTAATAAGAAGTTACTAATTATGAACTAATGGTTAGACTTGCATGGTTAAATTCAAATATAATAAACTAACCATTTTCAATTTAAAGTAAGGAGGTATATTATATTAAACAATTTAGAAAACCAGATTGTTTGTAATAATTGAAACATTAGGAAAGTAATTTGATGAAGATTTTACTTTATCGCAATCTATTACCTAATCTTAAGTTGCTCGATCACTCAAAATTTGGTTGATGATGACTCGAATTATCAATGTAAGCCCGAATTGAAAATTCATACTTGAGATTGACTTTGAATTACAGGAATGATCGAAGTGTAATCATTTCAACCTTGAGCATGGCTTGTCTTATAATCACCTTAACAATAATTAGCAACATTAAAAACATGTAAAATTTACAATGAAATCCAAGTATGATTTAATGAGTGGAGCGAGTAAGCTAACCAAACTCGTGATTAACTTTATGACTTAACCTCATAAGTCATAATTACTCTTGGTGTCGTAACAAATTAAGAATAGTAATTATCAACTAATCTTACAAGTTTGATCACTTTCAATCTTTTTATGAAAGACATTTGAGCTAATTCAGTAATAATATCATACAAGATGTTTATATGATGAACTTTCACATAAAAATGATGGAAGTTTCGTTTGTTGACTATTAATTGTGTAGACTAAGTATATAATTATTGTTATTTCTTCGTGATTAAGAGTTCAAATTAAGTAGACAATTCTATCAAATTGCCAGCAAGCAAAGTTTTATGATATGATAATGATTAATGATATTATATATTGACGGCGTGTTCGCACTTCGCAGGCCAGGAGGAGAGGAGGGGAGAGGTATTCCAAGGAGGACTATGGGAGAATTAATTGAAATTTTCTTTTTTTCAATTTTCTTTCTATAAATCTTAAAACAAATTTTCTCTCTTTTTTGAAATACATGTAATTTACAAATTTTTGTATGTGGCTGGCCACATGGTGCGGCAAGGGTTACTTGTAGGGTGTTACTGGTTTTGTCAGGGGTTACTTGTAGGTATTACTTGTATGGGTGTTACTGGTTTTGGTCGGGGTTACTTATAGGGTGTTACTGGTTTTGTCAGAGGTTACTTGTAGGTGTTAGTTGTATTATGGGGTTACTTGTATATGGGTGTTACTGGTTTTGGTCAGGGTTACTTGTAGGGTGTTACTGGTTTTGTCAAGGGTTATCTGTAGGTGTTACTTGTATTCTGGGGTTACTTGTATGAGTGTTACTGGTTTTGGTCGAGGTTATTTGTAGGGTGTTACTGGTTTTGTCAGGTGTTACTTGTATTCTAGGGTTACTTGTATGCCTATTATTGGTTTTGATCAGGGGTTACTTGTAGGATGTTACTGGTTTGGTATGAGATTTTGGTCTGGAGTTACTCAGAATACAAGTAACACATACAAGTAACCCCACGATACAAGTATCCAATACAAGTAACCTCATAATACAAGTAACACCATACAAGTAACCCCAAAATACAAGTAACCCTAAAATACAAGTAACCGTGCCGCACCATGTGGCTTGCCGCACTGAAAAACCTCTGCATATAATTACATTGCCGGATATTCTCCAAATATAGATTGCCACCTATGTCATTTCACAAATAGCTTCATAGTTGATGTTGTCATACAAACTTTTCTCAATATGGTACATACGGTACAATACTTTAGACTATTTTTGAAATATATGTTTAACATGACTAATACATAGTGAAAGTGATAATAAATATTGATTGTTTAAAATTTGTGTACAGAGATAAATGAAAATTCTATCAAAGAATAGTGCATAAAACTCTTCTTTTTGTTTTATTATGATCAATTAAAAACAATTATATTGTTACCCATGACGTAGAGAAAGCATTGATAGATACATTGAAAAAAAAAAAAAAAAAAAACTAAATTTATTGATCGATTCTCAAGTATAACATCGGTTCACTAATGTTACTACAATACTACATCATCAACAAAAAAACCCTTTTAATTTACACCAAAAAAATTACCAAGAAAAAATTTACAAAACCTAAGGTTAAATATTGCATTTTCCTTTTTTTTTTTTTTTTTTTGACACAAAATATTGCATTTCCTAAATGGTTATTTTTCAGTAGGTCTTCTTCATTTTCCTAGTACGAAGTATATTATATTTGGACATCAAGAGGTAGTAAGAATGTACATCTAAAAAACTCCTGGATTATTATCCATGTTATAAGATGCATGATGAGTTCAAAAAAAATAAAATAAAAAAATGCATGATGCTTATATTTGTCAACAGCCAGACAATTCCAGCTGCTCATTTGTTGATATGTTCATTTAGAATTTTAGATTGAATTTATAATAATAATCAAAGACGACTAATTACTGTGTCAAAAAAAAAAAAGACGACTAATTACAATATTAACTTTTCGAGAATGACAAATTATTAATACTTATTTAATTATTTATTGATTTACTAGTTGATTCCAACTTCTTTGCCAATAAGAAGCTATTATGCAACCCCAACAGGCTAATACGTACTCCAATAGCATGTTTGTGGTCCAATGGGCCATAAACCCATCATCCATTGGGCTAAAATAAAGATGGCATTACTTATATTTGTGGTTCTTTAACTAGATTAGCTGGTGAGCTAGTGGCTACTGATGCGTTACATAGCCAACATAGGTACATACTTGCAAACTTGCACCAACAAGAATTACTGGTACATTTGCTAGTGAACAAACGACTCTAGCTGATACCCGTATAATCATATTAGAAATAAACACAATATATCATCATACATTCATACTTCGTATATTGTTTTTATTTATTTTGTGTGAATAGAAACAATTTCATTGCCTCCCTTTAACTATCTCGATTAAGTGTTGGTAAAACAGCTGTCGATTTCAATTATAAAATAAAGAAGATGAAAGAGGAAAAATACTTGATTGATGATCTTAATATTACAGTCGTGTCGTAGAATAGAATCTACTGCATTAGAAGAGAAATACGCCACCACCGGTATGACGCACGCCCCTCAATGTTAACACAACTTTCCTCGTAATTCGTGTATTCAAACCCCCGAAGATTGGAATTGCTTAAGAACTGTTTAGATTTCAAAAAAAAAAAAAAATAGGTGTGGTTATGTGTTTAGGTCTCAATTATACGTAGTAAATAAAAACCATCATAGTGAATTTTGGGGGCTAAGAAATCCATATAGGAATAGACAAGAAAAGAAACCAATTAAAGACTTCCAAACCACGACACAACCGAAGAAGGACAAGTCTTTTGATTTCGAATATGGCAAATTTACTCCAGAGAAGTTCTTAATGTGGCTATTATTTTTCATTGATTTCCAACAATAACCAGGTTACACAAAAAATGAAGTTGCAAAGATGCACATGCGTTTGCTAACAGTAAAAATAAAAACCAATCCTCATAATTCCACTGTTGGCCTTTTGGCGGGGATTCTGTTACATACCACTCTGACACACTCTCCTTCTCCTTCTCTCACTCTCTCTCCACTTTCTCTCTCTTCTCTCCGCCATTAAAGCTCTATTTAAGCTCCTCTGAAGCTGCTTCACCTCCTCCATCTCCATCTTCTTCTCTCTTACGCTGAACTAAACCTGGAATTTAGCGACAATGTTCTACTCTCATCAACTGCTTGCTCGAAAAGCTCCACTGGGACAGATATGGTAACGATTTTCCTCCCGCATTCTCTCTGAAACTTCATCAAACCTTCAAGTTTAGCTTCGATTAATCGATTATTGCTTTTGGTTGATTATTAGAAGCATAATTTTCTGGCTAGGTTTTACTAGTCCATCCTCTGTTTTCGATTTTTTTTTTTTTTGAGCTTGACATTTTGTTGGCGTCGATTTCTTACCTTCTACAGATCTTCAACTTTAACTAAAACGGTGATATTTTTATTTTTTTTTTTGGTTTTTTTGAATTATTTCAATATGAGTGTGAACTTGCTAGTTAAGTTGTCCTCTGTTTTTGAAATTCCAAAATAAACTGGAATTTTTTGTTTGAGCCGATTTCTTAAGTAATGTAGTGCTTAATCTTCAAACAAAATGACGGAATTCGATAATATGATTTTTATTTTTTTTAGTTTGATTTTTGTATTATGAGTACGAATTTGTTAGTTCAATCATCCTCTGTTATCAAAGAGAACTTAAATTTTGCTTGCATCGCTTTATTTTTTGTTTTATATTTTCTATAATTATTTTCTTCAACAAAAATGGCGATAATATATCACATAGATTGGATTTTTGAATTTTCACAATATGCTACTATGCTAGTTAATTTAGCTCGATTATGGAAATTATGTGACGAAATGAGAAAATTCAAGTCAATTTCCATTTAATTGCAAAAAATTTCTTGTTAGTTTGCTCAGTTTCTGCAAAATTTGTTGTAATTAAAAATGGAACTACGATCAATGTTATTGTTAATCAATTTAAGTGTTATTGCGAACATTTTCTGTAAAATTAATTAATGAAGCTTCACAGTTCACTAAACTCTTCTATCTTTGGGTATAAGGATGGCAGCAACAATGCACGCGAAGATGAATCGGAGAAAGCTCGATCAAATCGACATCATCCGAATATGGTTCACTTTCTCTCTCCTCTCTTTTTTAGGTCAAGTTTGATTTTTATTTTCTGACATTATTGTCTAATTCTGAAATTTCAGCGAAGAAATTTTGAATCCTTCTGTACCAATGGCGCTGAGATTGTCTGGAATTTTAATGGGTATAGTATACTTGGCGAATAAGTAACCATTTCTTTCTTATCATTTTGCAATTTTGTTCATTTTATTTATCCTAATAATCAAGTTTTTTCAATAATTGTTTTTTTTTAATTAGGTGGTGTGGTGATTGTTTATGAGCGCAAAGTCAGACTACTCTATGGTGAGCATCATTTTAGTCAATTTTTCGAATTGATTAATACTCAATCTTGTTTAGTTAGGTACTAATTGTGAATTTCTGTTTCAAACAGATGATGTTAACCGTCTTCTGGTATGTAAAATTTGCTAATCTTATTTCTAGGGTTTTTTTTTTTTTTTTTTCATAATTCTGCTTATTATTGAGATATTGTGTTCAATTTGTGCAGGTTGAGATCAATTCAGCATGGAAGGTGAAACCTGCTGTAGACCCCACAGTTCTTCCCAAAAGCAAGAATCAAGCAAAGTGGGTCCTACATTGATTTCTCCCTTTGTGTATTGTTTATTTCTGCTTTTAGATTTTTTGGGTTTAATGGGGGTTTTGGTTGATTGTTTGTGTTGTATGTGCAGGTTTGAGGCTGTGACATTGCCTGTGAATCATGATGCAGATATTGGTGATGTTGAGCAGTCTATCGACTACTCTAACAAATTTACCAGTAGTGCAACTTTCCAGCAAACTGCTTATTTTGCCATGGTAAATTGAAGCACTACACTTTATCTAAACCCGTTCACGATTAACCTGGGATGCAATTCATGTAATTGCTATATGACTGCTATTTTTTAGATTTGCACAGTACCTAATGTAGTTAATCAAAGCTTTTATTGCTCACCAAGTTGTTAGCTGTTAACCCTTCTTGGTCATTTAGACGCGTCATGAGAAGCTTGAATAGGTTCATGCAAAAAGTTCCTGTCCAATTGCAATCCTTTGGGCACATTGGTATTAGAAGTGAACTAGGAAAGTTCTTAATTGGTTATATTCTGATTCCCATACTCCAAGTACAAATGTATTAGCTACATAGCCTACATACTAAGATCATATCTCACATTTTGGTAGTGTTATTGTGTTGATTTATTCTTGAACCTTTCCTAGAGGTTGTGATTCTGACACTTGTTGCAACCTTAATCTGCTGATATATAATTGAATCTGTCTGTGATCTTCCAGAGACTGGATACTATTGATGAGCTCAATGAGAGCTTCAAGGAAAAAGAACAAGATGACAGACACCATCAAGGTTTTTCTCTAGACACTAGCTTAGTTCAATATGTCCCCCAATTTTCTGTCTAAAGGCTTGTGATTGTGTCTGTTTACAGTAGATTGTTTGTGTAGGTGTGTGCATAATGGATTTATATCATTGCGCGGTTGCCCCTCAGTGGTAATGACCATCTAACTATTCTGCATTCGGCTTATTGTTTCTCAGCTGAACGTGCTAATATCACCTTAGATGACCCCTTTGATTCATTTCAAGTAGGAGGCGGCCTCTATAATCGCTTTGAAAGGTAAATCCCAACTGCAATGCTGAATGAGTCGCAGAAATTCCTAACTATTTCACGAAAAAAGCTCTTGAGCCTTTATGATGACTAAAATGCTCAATCAGCTAACTATATCTTCTCAGTTGACAAACTTTTAATCTACTTCTTGCAGGTTTGATATTGAAGGAGATGAGGAAACACAAAATAACTTCCCGTCTCATGGGCAAACAGAAATCCCACCTGCTACTACACACTCTCCACCTCTAGAAATGGAGCCACAGAAAGGTTGGTAGCATGATTGCTTGATGAGTAACCAATGGAACAGATTAATTCATTCAGTGGATTATTACATGTCATACATTGATTTCCTCCATTCACCAATCTAGCACTAGAACGCATTTAACAACACAATATTAAAAAAAGATAGCACAAAAATATTATCTGAAGAAGCATGCTCGTAAATAAACTGATAAATGTACAATTGATGCTACATAACTATGCTCAAGCTCCATCATGAAGAAGATTTAATAAGGCTTGATATAGTTGCTCTAGTATAGACAGATTAAAAATAACTACTTGCTCTGTTGGGATTTTACAAAATGGATCTAACAAGCTAGTTGGATGCAGATGATAGAGCTGGTGACGACATTCCTGACCAACAACCAGTAGACCATGCTAATTTATCTCCTTCCCAATTCAGGGAGGCAGGACAGGTAGCTATTATAAGCTGTGTCTTGTCTGTGTCCTGTTTGGAAATGAAATGTAGCTGATTATCATTATAACCCAATTACAGAGACCACAGAAACATGTACAGAAGCGAAAGCCACAAAGAAGGAAAGCAAGGGAAGCTCCCCTAATAATGGATATTGAACAAACCATGCTTCCTAGCAATTTATACCAAACTTGGCTCCAAGATTCGGGTGACATACGGGTCAAAAGGCCCAAAATCGTAGAGGTTTTTACCTCACATATACTTTATAATACTGTTAATTTATCATAGAAGGCATGCATACAGTGCTACTCTCTAAGAGTTGCTAAGGCAGGAAACTGCTGCTATCAAGCTCACCTTGCAAATACTGTTTTGCAGCATAACAAAGCAAAATCAACTGTGAAGATAGCCAAACTAGTAGACCTGCCACCAGTTGCACTATCTTGTGGTTTAGTCGGAAAATATGATGAAGTGTATTATCCACAACCGCTTCTAGATCTGTGGATGACAAGTATACAGCCTAGACAAGATTCACCTTCTGGTCAGTGTTTTACTCTATCTCTCCTATAAGAGAATTCTAGCTTGGCTGTGAAAAATATCGCAACAATTTGAATTCCTTGTACAGGAAGAACTACTTCACCCCTTCCACCAGAGCCATCATCATCCTCACCTCTCCCTGGACAAGACTATCGTGATCCACCAGAGATTGTAAGATTTTTTTTTCATCTAGCTTTATGTGATAAAACTCCATGTATGGTCAAACTGAATTTTTGCTTTTGAAGCCAATGGGGGAATTTGGCAATGGAGGTGTAACTGAAAGAGTGGCCTCACATGAAAGAATACGAAGCAATGTGGCCACAGGAATGGAGATACCTCTCCATGAATTTAACCTCATGCCTAATGGTGTGGGCACAACAAATCCAAATGCTGCAGTCACTAACTCAGGTATAATGATGTTGCCTTTTGATATTATTGTATGATGTTGCCTTATTTTAAGAAAAAAAAATACTAGATTTCAGATGGTTAAGTTGAGCTTTATATGTTATTACAGGAGCATCTGTTAAATCATTATCAGTTCCCAGCCCAGGTCCTGGACTTGACTTTATGTCTAACGCCTCAGACAGCTATTCAGAACGGTTAGTACACAATTTAAAATGCAGTTCCTCTGTATAATTACCTGTTTTACAAAAGGAATCAGATTTGTACCTCTTGATACAAATCTCATTGCTTTTTGAGAAAATGAATGAGATTCTGGACAAAAACAATAATTCAAATCCGGTGCCTTGACTCATGATGGATTTATACATAGGCTTTGAGGTCATTAAAATTTCATTATTCCTAGGTTAAGAAGGAAAAGGCCTTCAACAGAAAGAGTTAACAGCGCTGGGCTTGAGTCACTGGATGAGGAGAACCAATGGATACATGATGCAGCAGAACTCAATCTTTCTTTATTTGGTGAGCGACAACCAGGCTTCAAGGTGCCTAGGCACTCTCGACATGGTCCAACCCCTGATCATGGTAACATACACTTGATATATTAGCTCTTAGCTCTTGCAGTAGCAATACTTGTGAGAAAATTTCAGACAATCTTATCACTGCTTGATTTTTGCAGAGCTGCTGGTAGAAACTGGAATTACTCAAACTCAGCGTGCTGCAATTGATGAAGAAGCTGAGGTGATGGCCAACAATATCAAAACGTAAACCCTGAGTCATTTTGGATTCTGTTTTACAAAAGCAAAATATGTTCTTATCTAAAATATTATGTTGCTGATCCCTGATTTGATCACTATCTAGGCATTTGAAGACATACTTCGAGACCCCAGGAGCACCTCAGACAGAATCATTGAACCAGCTAGCTTTTGGTATGAACAGGAAGCAAGCTGCACAGCTTTTTTATCAGACTTGTGGTAAACATCAATCCTCTTATAGCTTCACAAGCTACATTTTAATTTATGTTTTTATCACCAATGAGTTTAACCTCAAACTACTGACACAAAAAATCAAATGTATTGCAGTTTTGGTTACCCGTGATGTCCTGAAAGTGCAGCAGAATTTGGCATATGGAGACATTAACATCTCTAGAGGAGCTAAGATGTGAAAGTGTGTGCATTATAAGAGTTCAAATTCATCGCACAACACCGAGATATCACACTTACTCTGTCTCACTGATCATCACTCTACTGATACAGACATTTTCAAGTATGCAGCTTGCAGAAAACTCAAAAGGATTTTCAACACACTTACTGTCTTACAGAAGATAAAGGTCTTAGTCCATATTTCTTAATATATTGGTTACTGCATCCTAGTATAAAAGATATAGAAAATTATTGACATAAATTCATACAATTATACAAAGTATTTAGGAGGGTATATATGTTTATCGAAACACTTGTCAAAAGGCAGCCATTTAAACTAAGTGATAAAGAATGTCTTATCCAGCTATACGATCTGATTATTATAATTAAGAATCATTAGCAAAGTACATTGTATCTCCTTGTTAACCTGATCAGGATAAGGTCAAGTGTGCCATATATATTATACAATGATAATTTTTGAAAGATATAATCATGTTTTATTCATGTCACATTTATAAAGGCCTAGTTTTATGTCTTTTATTTTCTTCCCATGATCTTCACCCCTTAAAATGAGATACGCTTATCTGGGCAAACTAATAAGAAGATTTAAATCTAGCTGACACGGTATAAAACAGCTCACACTCCCTAACTTCTTGCAGTATATTATGGGTACCTCTTTAAGCTGTCTCCACATGCTTCATTTTCTTCTGAGATTTTATTTGGTCAGCTGCTATACTTGATAACATTATTTCAGATTCACACCTACGTACGCTCTTGGCAACGACCAATATACTTATATGGAGTGTGTCATCCGTCCAAAATTAATTGTCACATTTTTCACAGATATCTTTACAAAGTTCAATAGTGGATCCGTGTTTGGAAATCCACATATGAATCATTCTTCTTACTCACGAATTTTTTCTAGACATTCTAAAATAGTACTATACACGAGTGTTACCTCGATCTGAACCAAAATAGGCAGGTTTGAACTCAAAACCCTCGTTTAGAAAAATCAAGTAATGCTGTATTGCTGTTAACCCATGAAAACTAAATCAACAACTAGTTTTCATGATGAAATTTGCCATTTGGCAACTTTAATAAGAAATAAAAACTTTTTGTCGTGGTCCACATAATTGATGGTTATGGCTCATAATTACAGTTTGTAATCATGTAAAACTGTAAATAATTACACCTAACATACTACACGTACGCATTGCATGTTTGCAATTTTGTATCACATTTCAAATGCGTGTTTCTGCAACGGTGTAATTTTTTGATCATGTTATTGTCAGCTAAATATTTTGGGCTTATAGCCTTCTAATTCTGGTGTTAAAGGATTTATTGAAATACTTTGGTATGAAACTTTGGGTGTTAGTTTCTGCCTGAGAAATCTAGCTTGTGGGGAGATATCTGTTCACAGATATCTTTACAAAGTTCAATAGTGGATTAAATTTCACAGATATCTTGTAGTCTGTCTAGCTTGCCCAATCAAAGCGTTTGGGCCAAAGTTATACACTTATACAACCTCTGTTTCATATTATTTGTAACGATTAAACATTTTTCCTCTATTCAAATCGTTGAAAATAACATGAAACGGAGGTAGTATTTCGTTCAATGAGGATATCAGGACAAGTCGAGATAAATTATATAAAGATGAAACAGATAGACCCAAAGTTTAATACAAGCAGATATTTTTTAAAAATAAAGTTATTAGCAATCAGATAGTTTTGGTAAGGTTGAGATATCATGCATTAAATTGCTGATTACTTTCCTAAGAGGGAGATGCGGAGGGAATCAAGGGAAAAGCTATGTAAACTTGTAAAGTCTAATTATTTTTGCAAGGTTAAAATTTCAGATGAATTATGTATTTATGTGCAATTCCTAAAGTAGGCACACCAACTCACCAAGTCACTAACCTCATTTACTTATGTAACTTAACTATAGGCATTAATTTATTTACTGAGTCCTAGTTATTTGATTATTTAATCCCTAAAACAAGCTTTCGTATGTCTACAATAGTACAATTCATGATCCATTGATCTATATTTGTCATTTTGGAACTAAATCACATATTCACACCTAGCATATTAGATTATTAGGCTTATGAGTACAATATTCTTCCACGAATTCAAATATTAATTTTTATATACTCCTATTTGTCCTACATAGCAATTGCTCTTGTATGGATTGAATTCAATTTGTAACTAATTTTTTTAATTTACGTTTTGAATACGCCATTGATTTAATATAATTAGCTAAATTTATCTGTGTACTTACTTTAAATTTAAGTGACCCTTTGAAAAAGATGATAACATATTTATTAAAAATTTAAAATCCCAAATTTATCAAAACAAAACTATTTGTCATATGATACAACTATCATAGCAATGTGCCAATGCCCATCCATCAATTATTGAATGGAGAAACTAAAAATTTATTTTATCATTTTTAAATAATATCTCGTAACTCCGAAATTTTAAATTCAACTTAACTCGGCTCAACCCATTTTCAATCGTACCCCGTAACCGAAGACACAAGAGTCAATTACCACATGACTCACTAATGACACAATCTCTCACATTACGCTATCTAAACACATCATCAAACTTCAAAGCACAAACTAGGTAATAAATCAACACATTATCACCATTCTCATTAATATTTTTAATAAAAAATATATCAACAATTAATGTTCCTACTCTGTTGCACACTTGCACAAAAACAAAACTCACAAGGAAAATGAAACTCACTAGAACCTACTAATCCAAACCCATTTTCATCTTCTTCCATCCAATTTTGTTTATTTGTTTTTTTTTTTATATTATCCAATTTTTTTTTCTTTCACCCCTTTAAAAACCTCTCACTCTCCAAAATTCATCACCCCATTTCAAAATTCAACCCCAATTAATTTTTTTTTTCCATAAATTTTCTCTCTCCTAAAATGTGGGTTCCATGGGTGAAGAAATCCTCTGTTCGCACCCACACAAGATCACCCTCCTTAACCTTGGATGACCACCCTCCATCTTCACCAATTCATCTACATTCTCCCTCTTTAAAAGACATTGAAACCCTCTTCAATCAGCACCCTTCTCCATTACTAACCCCACTTCACAAGCATTCTCTCTCCTCTGCTTCCTTCAGCCCGGCCCAAAGCCCGGCCCACCACTCTGTCTCCTTCAAGGACATCAACTCTCTTCTCTACGATGACCCGACCCGAACCACCCAACCCAGGAAGCCCTCTGTTTTCAACCGGGTCAGAACATGGGCCCACCGTCAGGCCCACCAGCCCGACCCGCCTCCAGACTCGCACAACAAGGTGGTCGTCTACTACACCAGCCTCCACGTGGTGAGGAGGACATTCGAGGACTGCAAAACCGTCAGATCAATTCTTAAAGGGTACAAGGTCAAAATGGACGAACGAGATTTAGCGATGGATGCGAGGTTTGTTGATGAGTTGCAGAGGATAATTCCTTCTTTTTCAGGGAAGAAGGCGAGTTTACCGACGGTTTATGTTAGTGGAAAGTACATTGGTGGGGTGGAGGAGATCCGACGGCTGCAAGAGAGCGGAGAATTGAAGAGGATGATCCGAGGGCTGCCATTGGATGAAGGAGGGATTTGTAAAGTGTGTGGAGGTTACAGGTTTGTAGTGTGTCAATGGTGTGATGGAAGTCACAAGGATAAATCTGGGTTTAAGAGTTGTTCAATGTGTAATGTCAATGGTTTGGTTCAGTGCAATTTTTGTACTTCTGTTTTGTTTTGATGTACTGAATTTTTGTTTTTGAATAGGAAACAGTGAAATGGTAAAAAAAAAGGGTCTTTTGGAGGTTAGTGGTAAAATAGGTAAATGGAAAATGTGAAGGTAGGTAGCCAAAGGTAGGATTATAAGAGATTAAGAGGGGTAGAAGATTTTTATTTTACTCAATTGCTAAACATCGCCCGCGAATCTCCACATAAAGCCCACAAAATTAGAGTGAATTGTCACTTTTGCCCTCAAAGTAAAAAACACAATTTCTTCTCTCAATTCTCTACTTCCACTTTCTCTCTCTAAAAAACTTTCCGAGCGATGTCGAGGCGGCCCGGCAAGGAAGTGGCGGCACAGGCGGCGGGTGGACAGCGGTTTTCCGGCGAGAAGGTATTTTTTATTAATTTTGTGTTTAATAATTAAAAAAAAAAAGGTCGGAGGCGGTGGCGGCGCCTAGGCCAGACGCCACCACCACGGCGGCGGCGTCTAGCCCAGACGCCACTACCACGGCGGCGGCGCCTAGGCCAGACGCCGTGACGGTGGCGGTGGCGTCTGGCCCAGGCGCCAGAACCACGGCACCGACGTCTGGCCTAGGCGCCGCCGCCGTGGTAGTGGCGTCTGGGCTAGACGCCGCCGCCACCGTCACGGCGTCTGGCCTAGGCGCCGCCGCCTTTTTATTTTTTTTTTTAATTTTTTTTTGGTTTTAAATTTGAAATTTAATTTTCGAAAATAATTATTTTTTTTTGATTTTTTTTTAAATTTGTTTTTCTTTTTTTTAATTTTAAATTTTATGTTTCTGATTTTTTTTTTATTTTGTTTTAAATTTTGTTGGTTTTTTTTAAAAAAATTTTATGTTCCCTTTTTTTTGTTATAAATTTTTTTTAAAATTTTGATGTTCTTCTTTTTTTAAGTTTTTATAATTTTATATTTTTCACTTTGTTTTTTCCAATTTGTTTTTTTTGGGTAATTTTTTTTTTTGCTTTGTTTTTTCCAATTTTTTATTTATTTATTTATTAGGTTATTAATTTTTTTATTTTTAGGTTGTTAATATTTTGTAATGTTTTTAATTTATTTTCCATCATATGTATATTGTTTTATTTATTTATTTTAATTACTTTTTTTATGTTTATATTACATGTTTATATTGCATATTACATGTTTTGTTATTTTGTGTTAGGCATCGTATTTTCGTTCTGGGGCTGGGAAGAGTATGGACATTATGAGAAGTACGATGAACTCAATGGAGAGCTCGGGGCCCAGACACGTTAGATCCCGTGGTATTTCGGCCTCGGCTCGTAGAGAACGGGTGCACTATTCTGAGGATGATGAAGATGATGATGGTGATGAGGAGGAGGAGGAGGAGGATGCAGATGAGGATGTGGACGATCAGAGTGGACCATATGATGATTACGGTCCATTCAGTCAGAGGCTTGATGATGTGTATGAGACGCGTAGGGTAGACGTGCGTAAGGGTAGAGATGGTAGATTTGTTAGTAGATCTGGCACATCATCTGCGTCCACTGTGTCTGCGGTTAGCAGAAAACGGTCGAGGGCCGTTAATGATTCTTGGGTGGTGAGGGGCGAGGTGGCTGGGGGACCTATAGACGGGAGTGTGATTCCTAGCTTTTTAGGACACATCGCTACCCGTATTTGGGAGGACCAAGAGCGGGCTTTGGATAGCGGCATTTTGAAATGCCAAACCCGGGAGAGGACTTGTAACTTCTTGTGTAGTTGGGCTGAGGCTTGGCCGGAGGAGAGCGAGATGGTCGGCCGATTGAGGGCCACTAGAGTGAGCCACCTTCCTGCCACCATGCATGAGAGGATTGACTCGACGCTGATCACGGCTTTCGTTGAGCGATGGCAGCCGGACACGAACTCTTTCCACCTTCCGTTCGGTGAGATGACGATCATGTTGCATGACGTCGAGGCCATCCTTGGGATTCCCGTAGAGGGAAACCGAGCATCTGTTGTCACAGATGCGGATCAGGCAGATTTATTGGCGGAGCTGTTGGCGGTGGATAGGGCTGCGCTGTACACAGCGGCACTTGGTGTGTGGGATCACGGCGGTGTTAAGATCGCAGCAGTTTTGCAGCGATGTTTGCACCCCACTTCACGTAGGACGCAGGACACACAGCTGGCTGCATATGTTTTTCTTCTTCTCGGGTGTACCTTGTTTCCGGATAAGAGCGGAAACAAGCTCAGGCCACGCGACATAGTTGACGCGTGTGAGCCCGACAGAGTAGGCCAGTTTTCTTGGGGGTCGGCTACATTAGCGTACATGTATCGCCAGTTAGGATTCTCGAGCCGGGCTGATGCGGCAGGTATCACTGGATGTATGACGTTGTTACAGACGTGGATATACGAGTATTTCCCGGCGTTTCGACCACACCGCGACCCGGTTCCTATTGGGGATGGCCAGCCACGTGCTTGTGCCTGGTGTAGAAGCTGCTGTATAGGGTTCCTTCCCTCTGACCGTTCAAACCTCAATTTATGTCTGACGTTGTAGATGTGTCTTCGGTTTGGCTGGTCTTCAGGAAATTTCTCCAACACAGATGCTAATATTTTAGCAGGCTTCACTTGAGCATCACTCATTTCTTTTACAATTAGTTTCGCAGCAGGACTTAGGCCACTTAACTGTCGATGACCCACTTCATATGCGATCATCTCATGGTTGTGATACCCCCATTTACCGTAACTCTTCACTTCCCAACCGTCACCCCTTTGCTGTTGTCGAACCTTTACTCTGAACTGACACCCACAACCTTTCCGCTTTGTATCAAACCGAATCGCTTGACTGAAATCTCGTTCCTCTCTTTTGCGATAACGGTCGCATCTCAAAATGCGATCCATTCTACCATCCCGTTGAGATTTATGAGTTGCTACTACTAAACAAAAACCTGATCTAATTGCAACCTGTTTCGCCCAATCAACCGCTTGTTGAGCATCTTCGAACAGACCATCGTGTACAAAAATCCCACTATAATCATTTCCGTCTCCACCATAATCCTGCAACAATAACATATAAATATAATCACATAAGAGTAGATTAAATTAATACATTTGACACAACATTAGCACAAAAGCAAAAACAATAATAAATTATAAACAACAAACAAAGAAATAAACAAAAAGTATTCAAAAAAAAAAAAAACAAAACACAAAAATAAAAAACATAAACAAAACTTTAGATTAAATAAATAAAAATAAACCAAAAAAAAAAAAACAAAAAAAAAACATAAAACGAAAAAAATTGTAAAAAAAAAAATAAAAAATAAATAAATTAAAAACAAAAACAAATTAAAACAATTAAAAACAAAACAAAAAAAAAAGAAAAAAATTGTAACACAAAAAAAAAAAAAATAAACAAATTTTAAATTAAATTAAAAAAAAAAAAAAAAAAAATAGTGGTGGCGCCTAGCCAGGACGCCGCCACCGTGGCGGTGGCGTCTAGCCAGGACGCCGCCACCGTGGCGGTGGCGCCTGGTCAGGACGCCGCCACCGTGGCGGCGGCGTCTTGGCCAGACGCCACGGCCACGGTGGCGGCGTCCTGGCCAGGCGCCAGAGTTACGGTGGCGGCGTCCTGGCTAGGCGCCACCACTACGGTCACGGCGTCCCGGCAGGACGCCAGCCGCCAATTCGTGGTTTTAGATGGCTTCGTACCTCCTTTTCCGGCGTCAACGGCGTCTCTCCGGTGCATCTACCCGACGTTGAGGGCTCTTCGGTTTCACTCGGCGATCCAGTCCTGCTCCACATTTTTTATGAGTGAAAAATTTTATTTTCGGTAAAAATTAAAACAAGGGCAATAATGTCAACATTTTTAAAAAATGTGGGCTTTATGTAGAAAAACGCGGGCGATGTTTAACAAATCCCTTATTTTAATGTGTAAGAAGAAGGGGTCTTATCAAATTGGACTTTTTCATAATTTCATTAGTTTTTTTTTTTTTTTTTTTTTTTTTTTTTGAATAGCAATTTCATTAGTTACTTTGGCCTAGATTGATAAGAATAGACAAATTTGATGGTATTGAATTTAGGCACAATTTTAGTTTATGTTTGTGATACCAAATTTTAAGAACATGGAATTTAATAGTGGAATACAAATATTTTCGATATATTATACATTTTTGTTTGATTAAAAGTTTCAATAATGTCGTTAATTATTAGTGGAGGGAAAATGTGTATTATATCTCCGAAAAACTCAGGAAGGCTTTAAGCCTGTGTTACTCGGACACTTCATTTCACCTCACGTACCAGTGTCGAACTCTTGACACCTGCACACTTCACTTTTAGTTTAAAATCATGGAATTTTTTCACAAAATAGCTGAGTCGGGCACTTGAACACGTACCCAAATTAGACATGGGTACCCGATTCCAAATAACATAGCTTTAAGCTATATGTTCGGAAGTTTAAATTTTTTCCCACAAGTCACAAGTCTTAACTACAGAAATTGTGAATTGTGATACACATATGAGGGAATTTTTTTCCCACTATATATATAGCTTGGCATGAGAAAATTCCAAACAAGACAACAAATAACTCTAGGTAAATGTTGTGAAGACGTACGTAAATCAATTCAATGTCAGCTCCTATATAGTAATGTACAACAATATCTGATTATTTAGGTAAAAATCCCCGTATTAAAACAAGGTTAATTTTTAAATAACCACCCAAAATGTAACCATTTTTAAACTAACCACCCGTTTAATTTTTTATTTTAAATTACCGTGAAATTTTTTCTATGGAGGCGGATGCACGATGCTCCGTGCATCCATTTTCTCTTAAAAAAGGCCGAATGAATATTCCGTTGTTCGGTAAAGAACATACATGTGTTTTGTAAAGAACATATAGTTATTTCATAAAGAACAAACCATATAACTGTATTGTAATGAACATATAGTTGTTTTATAAAGAACATATAACTATTTTGTAAAAAAAAACATCCAACTTCATGTTCTTTGTATATATCTAAAGAACATCTGTAGAGGTGATCAACTTCGACCCGGCTCAAAAATAAGGGTGGGTTTAGACAAGCCTAAAAATGCTTTTTTTAGTTAAAAATCCAAACTCGGCCCGAAAAAACCCGAAAAACACTCTACATTTTTCGGGTTTTTTGGACACGATATATTATGTTAAGGCCCAGCCCGACCCGAACTTTTTATCACCTCTAATGATAATATAATGTAATGAACATTATTTTCATTCAACCACCATAATCTAAAGACAAAATTCAAAGAACATTTCAAAATAAACAATTAACATATGTCACAAATAAAAGTACATTATTCTGACAATCAAAGAACATGAAGATAAAAAACATTATTTAACTGCACGTTATGTTCTTTACAATTTTATAACATGTTTTTTGCACTTTAAGTGAATGTTCTTTACATTTCTATACAATGTTCTTTACGATTCTATAATATGTTCTTTTCACTTAAACTAAATGTTCTTTATGTTTCTATGCAATGTTCTTTCCGCATTTTTTTCGGAAGAGATGCACCATGTGGATCGTGCATCCGCGTGCACAAACCACGCATTGAAATTATCATCCCTTAAATTAAATAAATGCTTAGATTAGCACCCATTTTAAAAATTGGGTGGATTTTCTATGTGTAGGCCCTACCTAACACTTATTTTGACCTTTTGACTGATTTTTTTTCCCTCGATTTTTCTCTTTAAAAATGCTCTCTATACTTTAATTCACATTTTCTTCACCAATTCTACCAAGTTTCAAAGAGAAAAATGCATCATATATTAAAAATAAAATTTAGAGTTCACATAAAAATTGAATAATAAAAGGGCTACGTGAGGAAGAAAAATTAAATTATTATTATTAGATGGATAGACTTTTTCGAAAATTGACATTAATAATAAAATAGGAGATAGATTAGAATTTTAATTAAATAAAATAAAATATCATGATGACATTATTTATACTTTTGGAGGGAAATTTTTTAATAACAACTTGACATGTGTCTAGTTTTAGAAAAGGATGATGTAAGCGGTTGTTACTTTACTATTAAAAAATAAATATACTTCAGTATTAAATTATAGATAGATTATAGATTAGGAGATTTAATAGTAATGTGCAGTATTATAATGAAATTTCGCACGGCCTTTGAAGCCCCATGTTCAAGAGTTTTCAAAAGGAGACGGCTGATTGAGAACCCCAGTGACATTGCCAGTATGTATTTGAGATCTGATTTTATCCTTGATCTCATAGCAGCATTACCACTCCCACAGGTAAGTTGGTTATCTATACAACAAGTTGTTGGTATTCATTTGTCATAATTTATAAATATACAGTAAGATTTTGAACGTGTGCTAGGTGGGCGATTACAAACCTTGACTCATAACAATTGGTTGTTGTTGTAGTGGTGATTGAGACTGCACTTGATAAGGAAGACACCTATTTGATCCCTCGTAACAACAATTGGGAAGGGGTTGAAACTTAATCATCCCGAACTGATCCTCGAATCCAGATTAGCCCAAAAGGTGAAATGGGTGGTGAAACACAAAAGAAAAAAAAAATACCTCATAATTTATAGGGAATAAAATTGATAATTTATTAGTAAATTTTAATGTCACGGTCCATTGCAAGATATTGAGTCCCACGAGTCATATGAGGAGGGTTGATGTGGGGTTTAACCGTTTAAATGAGACAATGGACTCTTCTACCTCCTGAGCTAATTTTTGGGATACCTCTCCTAATGTCTTGTATTAATAGGGCCTATGAAGGTGAGGCTAGTGCCGTCCGGAGCTAGGAACCTTCTCCTCTTTTCTTTTTGGGAATTATTTGTGAGATATAAAATGTTCTAAATTTGCAACTAAAAGAATCAGAGGTAGTATAATATAAGTACATATTTGAAAAAATGAATCGAGGGCTTAATTTTAGAAAGTTGCACATAGCTATTGCTATGGGTTAGAGTTCAACATGACAACTTTTTATTGGCATGTTTCAGACATGGCCTACTAACAGCCTAAAACGATACAAGGGCTTGCTCGACCCTAATTGGATTCAATTGCAATGTTAGAAAATTATCGCTCACGTTTAAAATTTAACACTATTATCTTTTGTGCATCAGTGCCAGCAAATTATTGACTACATATTCCTTTCATTTTGTCAGTTGCCTAAGTTTGCTCCAGATATGGCTACTTCTCTACTAGAGGCTATTTGCCAACACCTAAAAACATTGTCCTGTAAAGAAGGCACATACATTGTGAAGCAAATGCTCTTCATTTTCAGTGGTGAATTGGAACTTTCTTTCACACACACGGGAAATTCCTGCTTGACTATTCTAGGATCATCAGGTGAATGTTGTGGCCAAGAAATAGTAACATGGGCTTCTCAATCCACAACTTCAATGGACAACCTTCCTTCTTCGACTTGGACTATAAAGTGCCTCACAGATGTTGAAGCATTTGTGCTACAAGCTTATGATATGAAGATTCTTGCTACTCAATTCGCGCACAATCAAGAGTTTCAGCGTGCTTTCAAGCAGCATTATCCTTAACTTGGATATCTGATATGATAATGAGTTCATGATACTGCTGAAATTTTACTTTTAGGCTTGTAGCATCTCATATTGTTGGTTCAATTGAAGTCTTACTAATGGCCTATGAATGTTAGTAGATGTTGCTAACATGTTTTGTGAATGCATTTCACATTGAAGAAATAATTCTTGCTAGGTATTGTGTGTATATGGGGTCTCAAATTCTCTGGAGTGCAGGATTGCAGGAATACTGGAAGACGTGATGTTCATATAGCAAAAAAAAGATGTTTTTTTTTCCCAATTTCAACAATAAATTTCCTCTCCAACTATAAAACTCTTTTGCATATAACGGTGTAGATACTTTTTAAGTATACTGGAATTCAAGTATTATTTCAATATGCAATGAGAATGAGTACTATTACAGTGTTACTTGAAGGTGTGGCCCGTCACATATTAGACTTCGGCACTACTATATATTTTAAGACAAGGAGGTGGGAGGCTAGGAGCAGTGTAGTGGAGCATCCGACTCCTTCAAGCTAAGAAAAAGGATATGGTTTTCCTTTTTACACAAGATTGAGTTTCAAGGACCAACCTATGAAGGACCTATTCTAACAACTCTTCATTGACATTTGACAATATGTTTTTCAAAGAAATCTTGAGATGGGAAAATAAACAAATATCATGTTGATGAGTGGTTAAAGTTATTGTTAACGATTGATCAATAATCACCTAGACTTATCAAAGGTTAACGTGACCAGAAATTGGGATTGATCAACCTAATTAATACCACTTGCATTATATTGTTTGGGACTTAGCAAGATTCTTCAAAGACTTGTAAAAAAAGAATTGACCTGGTGGAAGTTTAATGAAGAAAAGTCATTTAAAGAAAAGCTACTCAAGTTTGCAATTGGTTGAATGAACCGTTGTAGTATTGAATAAATTCAAACTTCAATTATATTATCACTATATTTTGTTGTTTGGTTAAAAATGAGCTATATTGACTTAACTTGATCAATAAGCTTCAAACATAAACTTTTGTCATACTCCCGCCGTCCCATAATTACAGGCAAATAACTCTACAAAGTACGGTTTTTAAGGAAGATGGAAAAAGTAGAGGAATATTGTATAAAAAAGATAAAAAGTGAAGAATGTGGTATATGGATAATAAAAAGTTGAGAATATTGTACGGAAACGTTAAAAAGTAAATAATGATTTTTTAGGTATGTGTGTAATTTGTGTGAAAAAGAGAAAAAGTTAGTAATGATTTTTTTAGGTACGTGTGTAATTTGTGTGAAAAAGAGAAAAAGTTAGTAATGATTTTTTTAAGTATGTGTGTAATTTGTATGAAAAAGTTAAAAAGTAAGTAATTATTAGGTGTTATTTTTAGTACTCGGTAATAGGAGGAACATTTTAGGACGGATAGAGTATTTCGAAATAACATCCATTCACGTCTCATGACCTACCTAACATATCTCTTATAATGTGTCGAAGACTAAGGGCTACCACAAGTCCATAAGCAACATGCTGGGCCGGCCATGCCCAAGTGCCCACTCAAGGACAGAGGGTGAAGAGTCCTCCTTGATAAGTTGATAGTAAGAAAGTACAAAAGTCATTAGTCACGCGAGTCCGTCAACATAATAAAATCAAACAAAATAATGATGTCTGGACTAACACTTTTACTCAGTCTTCAGCTCAACGTAACATCCAATATTCTTACACATCACTTTCTCCCTCCATTAATTCTAATTTTCTCTGATTTTTTTTTCCAATCACACAATTACAACTGTACTTTCCTTTCCAACATTATTCCCTGTTTGTTTTTCTTCAAGTCAGCCTTCCTTTTTCAAAAAGTCTTCCCTCCTAAACCCCATTTTCTACCCCCTACTACCCTTCCATAATCACCATCCTTTCTCTCTCCAAACACACCTTTATCACTCTGTTTTTCCTACCCTTTATTATAAGGGTACCTTACCTCAATTGGGTATCTTTATTAGGTAATTAACCAAGTCCAAAGTTTGAATCTTTAACTAATACTTGCCAATTGGGTATTTTTCTGAAATTTTCAGAATTTGAGATTTTGAGGGTTTCTTGTGGAATTGGAGCTTATTTTAAAGACTGGGTCAAATCAAAACCCAGTTTTTTTGGGGGCAGTTTTTGTTGAATTTTGGTTGTAAACTATGTTTGGTGTTTGATGAAAGACAGAGAAAATGAATGATTATTGGTGGACCAATGGGTTCTTTACATGGAGCATGCTGCTTTTACTAGCTATTTTCCAGCTCAATTTCATCTTTTCTTCTTCTCTCAATCATGAAGGTACTTAATTCTTTCAAAAAAAAAATTAATTTACTAGTTTTGGGGTTACATGTTGTAGATTAATTTTTATGTATATGTTATATGAATGATAAAGTGATTATGTAAATGACAATGTTATTTTTGGGGTATCAATTAAGAACGCAAATTCTTGTATAAGACGGTCAGACCAAGTATTAGTTACTCGGAAAATATCAAATGTTAAGCAAAATACATAAAAAGTTACCATTAAACGAGCTAAAAATAAAATTATATTGGATGATCAAGTGATAATTTTTGAATTTGGGGTGATAAAAACAGGAATTGCTCTATTAAAGTTTAGAGAAAGAGTGGTAAATGATCCATACAAAGCACTGTCAAGTTGGAAGGAGGAAAATGGAGAAGCAAACCCCTGTTCATGGTTTGGAATTGGGTGTGTTGGTGGACATGTTGTTTCCTTGTGAGTTCTTCTTTTTCTTCTACTTTTTGAATTTTGATTGTTTCTTTTTGTTTAAAGCATTACATTTTTCCGACATGATTTTACTTTTGTTCTCTTTACTTTTAATGATGTTGTTGATATAATTATGCTTTCCCCGTTTTAGGAAAGGTTGTTAACTGTTAAGAGTTTTCGATTACCTGATCAAACTTGTGAGCTTTTTGTCATTTATATGAAATTATTGGCACTAATCTGAACTTGAAGTGAAGAAAATTCATTTTCTTCTCAGCAAAACAATGTGGAAGTTTTGTATGCTCTATAGCTTTTCTTCAACTTGTCACTATTAATATGACTGTTTTGAGGGCAATATGAAGTTATAAATCTAATAACAGTACATCCTAAAGTTACAAGCTGAGAACAGAAATATTGAGGATAGCTTATTACAATGTCAAATAATTACAGCTCTTAAGTATTGATAAGTACCTTCCTGTAACAAGCAAGAGAGGTAACTTAACGGCTTAGGCTTGAGCTGGTAATCAAGCTGACTTAAGCTTGCTCAGCTGGCGCATGATGTTTGGTTGCTTCTATGCCTTCTAAGTTCGAATCCCCTGACTTGCACGATGTTATAGGAGCTAGTTGATTGTAGTGGTATACTTCCACAAGACTTATTTGAACCTATTTACCTGTTGTGAAGTTTTGAGCTCGAAATTTCTGAAACAAGTGAAATCAAGGTGTGATGAATATAGCCACACTTAATCATCATAACATGTTAGGTGTAATATAATAGGTATAGTGGTACACTTGGACTATTATTGTGCTGGTGTTTGTTGAGTATTCAAGTATACATTCATTCATGTGTTGTTTATGTCCTAAGATGTTGTAAATTTTACAGGAACTTGATAAATCTTTCCCTTGAGGGAACACTAGCTCCGGAACTTCACCAATTGCTACACATAAAGTCTATGTAAGAATATACGTAGTATTAAAACATATGAAGTGTAATACTGTATATAATTTTTGTTCTCTTTTATCTTGCATTTATGTCACTCTGAAGTCTTTTGCAGCATATTAAGGAACAATTCCTTTTCTGGATTCATACCTGAAGAATATAGAAATTTGAAAGAGTTGGAGTTGCTAGACTTGGGTTACAATAGATTTTGCGAACCAATTACACACGAAATTGAACAAAACATCCCAAACCTGTAAGTTGCTGCAACATTTTTGCGTACATACTACAGAGAATATTCTAAATATAATTTTGTTTGCTCCTTTAGTCATTATGTCCCACCCTTGTTTAATCAGCAGTTTATTAAACAACAATGGATTATCCTGCCACATGTCTCCTGATGTAGAAGATACGACGCTTCTTGAAATTCATGAAGATAAGAGCCAGCTGAGAAATTATCTGGAAGTATTTGCACATCCCAGGTAATGTGGGATGTTTCACATGACTGTAGGGAAGATTTACAGGCCTATTAGCAATACATCTACAAGAGAATTTCTCTTGCTGCATGTTTAAGAATTGGTTTTTGCATTAAAATTCCTCTTAAATGAAACTGCTTAGCATAGAAGTAATCGAGATTAACCAATGTGCTTCTTGAGGGTAAAATGTTGTTTTCTTTGGTGAAGTGCTGATGACAACTTGCTCTTAACCTTAGGCAAAATGATCATGCAGAAGAGGTTGTACATTCAAGGATACTACAGGAGCAACTTCAAAGTGAAGCTCAAGGTTCTGAGCAACTATTTACACCTGATGAGGCACGTGCAGGTGGTGAAGCTAATCATGATCATTCTGCTGGATCTCCAGATGGAAAGACCCCACCATTTCTTAGGCGAGAACCCCCACCCCCACCCCCACCCCGACCAGATTCTTTACCAAGGTTAATTCCAGCACCTAATTTGACAAATGAATCCCCACCACAACCACCGCCTCCACAAACTCCCCCTACTTCATCAGCTGATAATTCAAGTAATAAGTTAATTCCAATAGTGGCTGGAGCAGTGGGCGGATTTATTGCATTGATTCTAGTTAGTTTGTTATTATTCCTATTACGAGGCAACAGGATCAGAAAGGCAACAGGATTGAGTGGTCAGCTTAAGAGACCATTTGTTGCAGGTTTATATGCTTTTCTTCTTCTTTTTTTTGTTACTTGCTTCTTTTATGGACACCAGAAGTTTAAGAGAATCAAAGTTGTGTATAATTTTGTTATTTGAACATTAGGTAATGATAGATCAGATGGACTCAGCAGTGATAAACCAAGCTTTATTGAAGGTTAGAATCTTCCAAGTTTTATGTCAGCTTTTAGATTATTTGTTATAACTAATCATGTATTGTTTGCTACTTTTTTTTTACTACTTTTGCTAATCCCTAAACCCTTACTAGTCTAGACTAGCTAATTAAGGATTATGCTACATAGATTCATTCTTCTGGAGTTCTGGTACAACAGGTTCCCTACTAGGCAATCACTGTTGTTGCCTTTGTTTTTAGCAGCATGTTGAACTGCTAATAAGCCTTCAGTCCTTGAAGGGTTATTATTTGTTAAGCAATACCAAGATACCATAATTTTAGCTTCTGTGATGATTAATCGAGAACTATATCTTTATTTTATTTTTTAAAAATTATGTTCTTTCTTTTTAAAGTATATTTTTTACATTTTCATGCACAAAAGCTTAATCATTAAGAATTCCATTGCAGGGATGCCAAATCTGAAGAGGTCTGAGCTTATAACTGCTTGTGAAGATTTCAGCAATGTTATTGGATCATCATCTATTGGTACCATATACAAAGGAACATTTTCAAATGGAGTTGAAATAGCCGTTATATCTCTTGTTGCAACTTCTGCCAAGGATTGGTCAAGAAATCTGGAAACACAGTTCAGGAAGAAGGTAAAATTGATACCAAAAAAGTAAATAATTTATAAACATTATCTTGGACTAAAATGCTTACTTAAATAGATTTTGTTCCCTTTTTACCTTCTCAGATTGAGACTTTATCAATGGTGAACCACAAAAATTTTGTCAACATTATAGGCTATTGTGAGGAAGAGGAGCCGTTCACTAGAATGATGGTTTTTGAATATGCTCCAAATGGCTCACTCTTTGAGCATTTGCATGGTGAGTATCTCTAGCCCTCCTTGTTCAAATCTAGCTTCAGAGTTCAGATAGTGGACTAGAGAAATGTGGTGATAAGTAGATAAATTGTGTGCCTTTTGGTCTATCATCGTCTATAAAGATTGAAGCAACAGTCTATGCTAGATTAGCAACTAATTTCGGTTTAATATAATATGAAACAAATAGTTCCTGAACCTAAGTACTGATAGGATTATGACTTTATGCTGCTAATCCAAACATTGTCTTGCATAAGATTTACAAAGTAATACCTCAAGATTTAGAACAAATAAGGCTTCCAAAATAAAGAGGGAAAACCGAGAGAGATAATCCATGTTGAACTAGTGGAATAAGGATTATGATCAGGACTGTAATATTTCTGTTACCTGAATGAATTTATTCTCCTGGTGATTTTTTGCAGTAAAGGAAGCCGAACATTTAGATTGGGCTATGCGGTTGAGGGTTGCAATGGGAATGGCATACTGCCTTGAGCATATGCACCAACTAACACCACCAGTGACTCACCCAAACCTCAACTCATCAGCTGTGAACCTCTCTGAAGATTACGCAGCAAAAATTTCTGATTTCTGCTTTTGGAATGAAGTGGTTGTTCCACGAGTGCAGCCTTTGGCTATTGGCTTGAGCAGTTTAAGCACAACACCAATTACCCCCGAGAGCAATGTCTACAGTTATGGCTTGTTGCTTCTAGAAATGATGACTGGTCGTATCCCTCATTCTGTGGAGAACAACTCACTTGATGGTTGGGTGTTGGAGTATATGAAAGGGGAGAAACCTATTAAAGAAATGGTTGACCCCATGTTAAGACATTACAAACCTGAGCAGCTTGATAAAATTAGTGAGGTAATAAGAAAATGTCTTCATTCTGAACAAAATAGACTGACAATGATTGAAGTTACTGCAAGATTGAAAGAAATAACAGGCATTATACCGGATAAAGCTGTACCACGATTCTCCTCTCTTTGGTGGACAGAACTTGATGCTCGTTCTGTAAATGGAACCTAGAAGTTATAATACATGGTTTTTGAGTGTTTTTGCTGGTTTTATTTATCTCCAAATATAAAGCAGTCACATTTTTTTCATTTGCTTGTTACAGTACAAATTTAGCATGTAAAGTTTGATGTTGTATTTATGAAGTATGTAGTACACTTGATGATTCTATATTGCTATAACTATATGAAGTTCTATATTTTTTCCAAAAAAAAAGAAGAAAAAAAATCCATCTGTGTTTGTTGTCTGAAGTTGGGCTCTCCAAATTTCTGATGCATGACTTTTATAATAGAAAGTCAACCTTTCATACAGATTGGTTAGCAAAGTCCGAATCCTGTCTCCAAATTTTTTTTTTAAGGGCACCTACAAAAAAACATCTTTTACAGTTGTACTTGGATAATTTATTGGCATAAGTTTCAAGAGTTAAATTCCCTTAAATAAGTACAGTATAATGTAATTTTTTTATCAAAATTTTCGCAAGTGTTCTTCCTTTCCTGTACAAGAAACTTGGGTGGAACCTTCAGATCATCTTCACTTTGGTTCAATGGATTTAAGTCATCAAGGTGATCAATCATTTGGTTTAGTTCGGATCTATTTAAATCAGCCTTAATATAATAAAATAATCAATATAGATCATATCAATTTTCAATCATAGTTAATTAGCCAATTAGGTACATATCCTTTTTCTGATCTAGGTCTACTTGAAACCTGGATAACACATAACAGTATAATCTATAATGCAAGAAATCACAGATTGGTCCGAATGGCGGTGAAGTGATCTGCACCTGATCATGAATTTAAATGAATACTTCTATAAATTTTTTTAAACAAATTATATTCCATATGATGTTCTTCACGTCAACCACCACTACTTTTGTTTTTGTTGATCTTCTCCTTTCTCTGCAGGCTGCAGTAGTTGCCTGCATGTCCAAAGTCCATTTTCTGAATTAAAAATGGGTGTTGAAGGTTGACACTAACCTTAGTAGCACCCACGTACGTTGAACAATTAATAAGATTATAAACATATAAATACCCCATATTAATCCCTCTATTTCTAAAACAAAAACATAATTTAATTTTCCTCAACACAAAAACTAGAAGAAAAAAAAATGGCAAGAACCCATAATTTGTTTCTGTTGTCAGTTTTGCTCCTAGCTGTAGCTGTTACTTATGCAAGCGCGGATGGATATGGAGAGCATAAAAGTTCGTATCCAAAACCATATGCACCACCTAAAATAGTATCTGATGTTGTAGTGGAAGGGGTAGTCTACTGTCAGAGCTGCAAGCACTCAGGATCATGGTCTTTCCAAGATGCAAAGCCCATTGGTGGTGCTATAGTCAGTGTTACTTGCAGGAATTACAGGAACAGAATCACCTACTACAAGACCTTCACTGCAAACAATGAAGGCTACTTCTATGCTCAGCTTCAGGGCTTTTCCATGAGGCATCCATATCTGGATCATCCTCTTCAGGCTTGTGTAGTTAAGCTGGTTTCTTCCCCTCTCGAAAACTGTGATGCCTACACTAACATCAACTATGGTGAAAACGGAGCTAAGCTTCGGTTTGAGAAGAAGAAAATAATGTCAAAGAATTACGACGCTGTGGTTTATGCTGCTGGTCCTTTGGCCTTCCTCCCTGAATACTGTACTCCTGATGAATACTGATTTATTGTGTGATTAGTTTATTACCCTCGCCTCAGTTTATTAACAATGGCGTATGTATGTGACTTGTGGGGTTCTTGTCTAAATATGAGAGCCATTTTGTATGTTCATGAATACTAAGCATTAACATTTTCTTAACTCAGCAGTCAGAAATAGCATTTCTCTTTGCCTTGATATATTTCTGATGATCTTAAACAACAAACAGAGGTGCTGAATTTTGTGAAGTAGATCCACATAGTTAACTAATTACAAATAAATTACAAATAAAAGGGTAGAACAGAAGATAAATCCATTGGTTTACAATTTGACTATTAGCGGAAGGCAACACTAGAGGCAAAAGTTAAGCAATGGTACACAAATACACAATACAACATCAAATTTTGTTTGCCCCACAAAAAGAAGCAATACAAGTATCATACCTAAAAATCCAATGGCATCTTAAAGAGGTCATTTATATCATCCATAGCTTCTTTTGTGAAGATGGTTGGCTCATGTAAGTCAAGATTATCTTTGCTTGAAGATTTTCTTGGAGGTTGCGGACCTTCCGAATGATTGAATTCATCATCAGCAAGAATTGAAAACCCACCAAAATCATTATTTTCTGACACGGCTGCTTTTTCCTGCCTTTTCCTTCTGGTGGTTCTGACAAAATCAATTGGCTTCCCAAACATGCCATTTATATCTTCCATAGCTTCTTTAAGGTTCACTGTCGGATCCACCAAGCCATGGTGGCAGATATTTTCCACCTCTGGTTCATCAAGAATAGCTGAACCAACAAATCTACGAACAACTGTGTCCTCCCTAAATTTGGTTCTGGTCTTTCTGGATGATTTATCCACTTTCATCTCATTAGAAGACTCTGACTGATGATCTTGAGGCCTAAGAAACACAAATGCATCAACCCTGGAAGAGGATGACGGGGAGTCATCTGCTGACGTTTGGGTCTCACTTGGTTCAGAATCATTGCTCATCTCATCATCAACAAAGATCTTGAGTGGTTCTTGGGGAGGCTGATCAGCTTTATTTATTTGCGCTATAAATTTTTCCTTGTCACTTTGACAAGTTGATCCAACCTTATTATCCGAATTTTCATCTATAAACACCTCAAGTACATTACTTGTGCTCTGATCTACTTTGTGTTGCCCTCTATATGTTTTTCGAACAAAATTTGCAGGCTCAATGGGTTCTTTGAACATGCTATTTATGGCATTCATGGCCTCTTTCATGTTTATGGTAGGTTCTACCAGGCCATGGTGACAGGCATCTTCTGCTTCAGACCTTCCAACAATTGCAGAATCTACAAACTTGGCCACAACAGAATCATCTCGGTACAACTTGCTACCAGCATTTTCCTTTGCTTCATTTAGTGGCATCGTATTCTGAGGACATTCTGTAAATATGTTCCTAGAATTAGTATGCTCTCTCTCAATGGAACTTCCAATAACTCTGCATAGTCTTTCATTATTCTCCAAAATGCTACAACCTTGGTCAGTGGTATTATGATCAGACAGAGGTCTCTTAGTTCTCCTCTCCTCACGCTGTATAAAAATAATGTGTTAACTTTAAACTTCTTGGTCCCTTGAAGTATAAAGCTGTTAAAAGTTTGAGAAAAGAATTGGAGGAACCTGAACTCTCTTGTTCCTGTGTCGCTTCATGCGTTGAATAAACTGCTCATATGATTTCTGCAATTCATCTAAAGGTTCTGCAAGGCTTCAAGTTCACAGGACATGAATAATACCCTGAAGCACAAATTAAATACTCAAACATCCTAATGCATGAAATAAAAAACTAAAGAAGACAAAGATTTCATACTTAATGCCTAACATAACTAATATCAGTTCATGCATGGCCCGCTGTCAATAGCTAGGACACAGATGGACACAAGCACACCATTAAACTGAGTATACATGGAAACTGGAGAATCTTAGTTCTTGATTGATTGCATCAAACTCCTACTGGTATTTAAAACCAGCTGGTCCCAAGTCATAATCACATTAGAGTGTTCAGTCAAGCGATTCATGTCACTTATCTGTAGTAGTAGATTGAATGGAACAATAACTATACAAAGTAGCATGTGACTTCACAATGCTTAACTGATTGCTTTGTTTCTGGCACAGATTATTTTGAATTTTTGAAAAAAATATCCAAAAAGTAATTACTATCAGAAAGCTAAGTTCAAACATGATCAAACGTCTCCAATCAAACACGACCATATTCTGAGATACAAGCCAGCATTCCATTTCATATAGCCCATATTTGACTGGACTTAAAAATGCTCTCCTCCACATAGGGATTTGCAAAGAATTGCTGTACTAAGACATTAAGAAGTGCTAAATTCCCCTTTCCTTTGCATTCTACCTCTGGCCTTAGGTACATGAGCCTCCACTCATTACAAAAGGGCTATGTGCTATGTTCATAAATATTCCATTAGAATGTGTTCAGATTTCACCCTAAAATTGCCTCTGTGGCTAAGAAGACTACTCCATGCTAAATTAATTGTGTTTCTTTTTTTTTCAATTAGGCACAGACTTTTTTGAAAGAACCATCCAACAATGAATAAGCTATGTGCAAACATAATCAGACATCTCCAATCATACACAAGACCTTTACTTTGAGAAGGAAGTCGGTACTCCATTCTACTTAATACTTTGGTTGGGCATAAAAGTTGTATATTGTTCTCCTCCACATCGTGATAAGCACTTAGCTCTTGAGGATTAGCTAACTTTTTCCTCATTCATATCCAAACTCCAATCATAGCCACATGAACCTCCACTCTTTCAAAAAGCTAATGTGCTAAACTTCTAAAGTTCACCTTTCATAACTCCAAACAAGAAATATGATCAAATTACAGTCATTACACCCTAATTCTATTTCAAACAGTTATTAAGAAACCAAACATGCTCAAAATTCAAACATATGATACATTTAAAATATTCTCACCAAAAAACTCTCTACCTTGTTTAATTAAGTTCATATTTAATCTTTCCAAGAGTAAAAAACTAAAAAAGGCAATAATAAGGTCTCCCCTCAACCCCACTTCAATCAATAAAAGCCTTAATCCCATAAGTGGGGTTGACTACATGAACCAAATTTGATTATTCCGTGTAATCACCCCACTTACCACAAATGATCAACAAAAAAAGCTTTTTAGGGTTTCAACCAAACCCCATTTTCTACAGCTATACAACCCACATTGATGAAATATACCACAAGCTCAAATTATACAGCTACAATATACATATAATATACTTCTCCCCTAATAATTTCATTTGCATTCTTCACATTCGACCAAAAAAAAAAAAAAAATTATAAAGTTACTTACTTTTGAACCCCCAAATGATATAATTTCTCAGCATCATCAAATTTCTTAATCTTCTCATAATAAAGCGCATAAGCCTGGTAAAACAAAGCCCTCTTAGTCCCAATTTTTTTCATCTCCATAGTCCTTAACAACGCCTTCGGATCATCAACAAAATCCATCTACACTCCACAATCAAAACCCTAAATCAATTTAACTTTTTCCACAGATTCTTGAAATGAAAATTCAATCAATTAAGAAAAAAGAGGGGAAACAATTACCAATTGCAACCAAATACGGAGGTATCGGAGATCATTGCGATACCGGCGGTTCGAATCGAAAGTCTGAGCGCACTTTTGAAGGAATCGAGGGAGTTTTTCTTTGAGGAGATGGGGTGGTAAGATGTTCTTCATTTTTCGAACTCCGCTGCCATTGATTTCGAGCAAGTTAGTGAGAAAGGTAGTGAAACTGATGAAGAAAAAAGAGAGAGGAGAGAGAAAGTAGGTTACCTGATCCATGGAAGAAGAGGGTCGTTGCCGGAGTAAGATTTAATGTCGGAGATTAGAGATGAGAAGAGATCGTTAGGATTAGTGCTCGCCATTTTTGCTCTGTTACAGAGCTTTGGGATGAGGGGAGGGGGAGGGGGAGAGGAAGAGGAAAGTGAGAATTTGAATTTAGCCGTTAGAGTAGTACTCCGTGATGAGGGCTTGAGGCCCATTTGGAAAGCTAAAGATCCAATATAATTTTTTTTTATTTTTTTTTGGGAACAATCCAATAAAAATAAAAAATATGTTTGCATAAGCCATAGATCCAATTCTCCACTCCTTCAATAATTTTTCTGACTTTTTCGTGACGAATTCAGACTTTAACTGAAATTATGTTTTTAGACTTATCTAATTCACACTAGACCGGAGTAATATAAGGAGCATTTTATGAAATCATTGTACATTTATACCTAAATCATCATATCAACAATAAAGATTTTGAAATTTTAATACAACTTGTGCAAGCCAAATGATAGTAGCAACATTATTTATGAATTATGGAGTATTTTTTTCGCTCATGTATACTAAAATACAACTCAAAGAAAGTGTCATGACTGTCTTTTAACAAACATTTTTTTCACTCACTCTCTCTCTCTCTTTTTTTTTTTTTTTTTTAAGTTTTGTTATACAATAATTATTCAATAGAAGTGAGAAACATTATGAAAATATGGCTTTGTACCTTTAATTTTGATAAACAACTTTAATATAAGTTAGTTTGCTCATACAACAAATACAAGTAGTATTTACCATATTATCATTGATTGTATGACGATATATATAGGTTGATATGTTTTAAATATTTGCGTATAAAATCCAAATGCCTAGCTTCATTTTTGAGCGGAAAAAAAAATAAAATAAAAAAGAAAGACTTGATTAAAAAGTGTACTCATTAGAATTGACTAACAGCATGCCATTTTGATAAATTAGGGAGAAGATAGAATGAATAGCCTCATTATTATTCATCAATAGGTAGAGTATTTATACAAAACCTACGCTTATAAGATAGGAAACAATATTCCTAAAGATATGCTAACATAACCATAAACCCTAAAGAAATATTCTCAAAATAATATCTTAACATAAATATCCTAAATATATTATTCTCTGAATAATATCTACAGAAAATATATCATACATATATTTGAATAATTGTATTCTTAAGGTGTATGTAGTACGTGTAAATATAAGGCTAATGTTAATTAAATCAAGAATTAGATCAAACCAAATCAAATTAGGTGAATAATTGAAGACAATCTCAATCATATGTCCTACTCCATCTCTAATCACGTTAATGCAATATTTATACCAACTGAGATTGGCGTGGGTGGTTAACGGCATCTTGCTTGATTGTTCCTTAACCAAGGTCTCGGGTTCGAGCCTTGGGCTTGGAAAGGAGGGATGCTGCCCGTCGAGGTACTTATGCATGCAAACTCTAATGGGATATTAGTCCACTCGTCAAAAGCGGTGGGAACTCCTCATAGTAATACCATATCCAAAAAAAAAAAAAAAAAAGAGGAAAAGAAAAAAAAAAGAAAGAAAAACGTTAATGCAATCTTTATTGTTCAGATTTGTTTCAATTTGGGAATACATGTAGTAGTTTTTTTTTAATTGTCATTATTATCCTTTTTCGTCGACGGTGTCAAACATTGTAAGATCTGTAACGTTACTGGATGAGTGGATGGTGGTTGCTAAATAATTGATTTGTACCGACTCTACGTGAATCTCGTGTTCCATCTGCTGATCTGATAACATTTTTAATAACAAAAAAATAAGTGTAATGATTCACGAATCATTAGGGCTTGCTCTATAAATTTAATAAATAAAATATACTTACGTAGTTTTTTTTTTTTTTTTTTTTTTTTTTTTTTTTTTTTTTTTTTATGGTGCTCCCTTTAAATACCAAGCATCAATTTATATGTGTAACATAATCTATTTTTATTTTTTAGCAACCAATGTAAATCTATAGTGATTATGAAACATCAAACATAAACTTAAACATCTGATGTGGAGTGAGGATTATACTCTCTCCGTTTTTAAATACTCGCTCCATTTTTTCTTTTTCTCCATGTGCGGAGTTTTAGGAGAAATTGGAGAAAATAATAAAATATGAAGATAGTGTGGTTGGTGGAAGAATAAAAAATTGTAGAAAGCAAAAGTAGTAGAGATAATTGGAGGAGAGAGAATATATGTTAGGTCCACTAGGTGAGGGAAATTAATTAAATATTATAAAAGATTTCCAAAAAAGAAAAAGAAACAAGTATTTAAAAACGGGCGCAAATGAAAAGTGGAGCAAGTATTTAAAAATGGAGGGAGTACTTTGATGAACCTAGCTACATAACTCTACAGGCTATAAAGCTATATAGTTTCACATCACCCAAAGCATGTGTCTTCCCCTTAAATGAATAAATTATTTGTTGCCATTATAGATTTGTAGTTTAAATAAGGCAAAAGCTAACGAATATTCCAGGGGCGTTGGATAAGGTAGTTAAAAGTAGAAAGATTTAATTAAAATGAACATTAATTACACTTAAAGTGTTCTCAAATTAATACAATTTTAGGCAATATTTCAAATGCTTATCCAACGCCCCGAAAGTGTTCCTTAGCAAGTTCCTTCAAATAATTTAGTTTTGAAATAATAATGTAGCGGTGTAGTTATTAGAAGATCACAATTTTAATTCTCATCCACCCCCCTCCCTTTCTTTTTATAGTGAAATATTCGGCAGGTAACACGTCAAACAAATCCACAGAGACAACAGTGTTATAAATACACAGACCCTAACGTTGGTACATTTCCAAAAATAACAAACTCTTAACCTTTAATCTTGTCTCCTCTCTCAATTTCAGTCCTCAATTCCTCATCCGGCAACTCCATCAATGGCACCAGAACAAAGCACGATCCTCCCAGAACACCAACAACAATCCAACGATCACATCTTGAACGCTCGAGTTCGGCTCGCAACCGAATCAGACGTTCCCTTCATTAACAAACCCATCCACAAAATGGCCGAGTACTACAATCTCGCTCACGAATGTCAAGCTACCGAAACTTCTCTCTTCGCAGCCCTCTTCAACAACTCCAAACAGCAGCCTCCTCTTTCCAATCCTTTTAGTAGTACTGTCAGTGTATTCCTCATTGAAGTCTCCCCTACTACTCTCCCAATTCCTCCCCACCAGAATAATTGCCGTGCTATTGATCTCGCAGGTCACGAGTTCGATCCCGAAACTATTCACAAGACCATACACGTTAATCACCACATCAATGACCCCAAGGAGTCCCTTTTTCGTACCGAAAAGGGGACTATAATTGCGGGTTTTGTGATCTTCTTCCCGAGCTACTCGACGTTTCTTACGAAACCCGGGATTCATATGGAGGATTTGTTCGTAAGGAAAGGGTATCGTGGTATGGGTTTTGGGAAGCTATTGATGAAGGCGGTTGCGAACTTAACCGTGAGATTGGGGTATGCGAGAATGGAGTGGACTGACATTACTTGGAATGTGGATTCTCATAGGTTTTATGAGAAGTTAGGAGCTCATATTTTGAAAGATTGGCGTATTTTTCGACTTGATGATGATTCCCTCCTATCTTATGGTCAGCTTAGTGATTGAAAGTTACGAAATGGGACAATAAAATAAAAGAAATATCACCTTTTATGAGACGGAGAGAATAGTATTTAATGGATTGATAAAAAACACATATTTCGTGCGCTATAATAAAGTACTATGAAATAAAGTATGAAATAAAGTCTTTATTTGAGGTCTATTACTGTAGTAGTATGAAAAAGTCTATATTTGAGGGCATTGAGCTAGTGTTTTCTTTTAATTGTTGTTGTATCGACATAATATGAAATATAGTGTAATTTTTGTATTTGAGTTCAATTCTCCACTTGAAAAATAATAAAAAGAAAAGAAAAAGGAGTATGATTTAAGTATTTAACTATCATGCACATGTAATTTGCAACCAAAAAAATTAGTTAGAGAGCCTCAATTTATTACCTTTATAAGCAAAATTAGGTCATGAAGTGGTAAAACAGTAAATAAATCAACAAAAATATTCAGCTAGAGCCTATCATAGCATTTTAAATAACAAACATGTTCATTTGTCATTGGAATTTCAATTCATCAGGTCATAATGTTGTGTGTTTTGTTCATAAATTTTCATTATTTTTTAAGACAATGCTACCTCTAAAATGGTGATAGATGTTGCATAGTAATGAAATTTTGTGCAGCATTCGTTGCATTACCACGAACTTGTCTTGAGATTTGAGAACTTTGTGAATCATGGACCCATCTACATTTGTGCTTCATGTCTCTGAAAGTCTAAATTCCGATTCAAGCTATGTGTTTTTTTTTTTAAAAAAATGTTTATATCTGAATTCCTTAAATTTGATAATGTTGTCTTTGTATTAAGATGGTTCAAGCCCTTATTTGTTCACAAGATTTGTAAAAACTTAAGAGCAAAGGGATTGTCAGTTATTGATGTGGAGGAAACTTTGGAAGAGTTAGAGGAAAATCGAGAAAGGTAGTTATGTTATTTAGCGCTTTTTTTTTTTTTTTTTTTTTATTATTATTAATTATTAATACACTCTAATATAATCTATTTTTGTTTTGATTCAGATGTGCAATGTGGCGATATAGACAATAAAGTCATTTTTGTAGACTCATTGGTTTGATTCATTTTAAGTATGTGATTGAATGGAGATAAGGGATCAAACATACTTCCTCCGTTTTTAAATACTTGCTCCACTTTCCTTTTCCGGCTGTTTTTAAATATTTGCTCCATTTCCTTTTATAGAAAGCTTATACAATATTTAATTCATTTCTCATACTTAGTGGACCCAATATAATACTCTCTCTCCTCCTATTCTTCCACTACTTTTGATTTTTACAATTTTTTATTTTCTCAACTACCTCGCTACCTCCATATTTTATTACTTTCTTCAATTTCTCCTAAAACTCCGCGCGTGGAGAAATTGAGGAAGTATTTAAAAACGGAGGGAGTACAATCTAATATATTCTATTTTGGACTTTATGTAACTTGTTAAATATGTTTTATACTATGTTTTGTTGTATATAATAAGTAGATAACTATGTTTTGGACTTAAAAAAAAAGGCTCAATACTTTGTCCAAAAGAAGGTCCATATAAACAGGTCCAAAAACAAGTTCAAAACCAATTAGTCTAAGGTGCACCCTTGTGCACCTTAAATAGATGTAACAACGTAGCCCAAAAGCCTAATTACACATAACCCAATTAAAAAAGCCCTAAAACTAAAAAACACGGAAACTGCAATACACCCACCCATACCCAATAAATGTAACGTCATTTCCAAACTCAAAAATCTTCTTCTTCTATATGATTTTCATATGTTCATAATTTTTTATGTATATGTTCACCTTCTGAAATGCTTAATTATGTTCATACGCATTCAAAGATGAACCAATGCATATGTTCATATTTTGAATTCATATGTTCATATTTTTAATACTTATGAATTATGATGCATATGTTTCATTATCAAATTATTTTTATTTCTTCAATTTTTTATGTTCATAATAAAATGCCTTATATTCATAATAATATTTTATATGTCATAATGTAAATATTCATAGTAAATATTTGTTGTTCTCATTAAGTTTGTTTACGCATATCTTCTCTCTCTTAAATGCATATGATTATATTTTTTACGCATATGTTCACCTTTTAAATGGTTATATTCACTTTAAGGAAATCAATGCTTACGTTCATATTTTGAATTGTTATGTTTACTTTCTGAAATGCATATGTTCATATGTTTTATGCTTATGTTCACTTTCTGAAAAGCTAATGTTCACATTTAAGGGAACCTACGCATATGTTCATATTTTGCATGATTATGTTCATTGATAAAAAAAATGCAGAAAATCAAATGAAATTCATACACAAATGAAATTGATCGAAGCTAAAAAAAACAATTCATACGAATTCAAAAAATCAAATAAACAACCAATTCCATATTGTAAGTAACATATTCAATCGTTAAATCGAAAAAACGAGAAAAAAAGGGAAAAAAAAGGACAAAGGAATTAAAGAAGGAAGGAGAAAAAAATAGAGTATAATTTGTGAATTCAAAGATTCATATATACCTTAATCAATCGAAATTAAGGCACAAAATCGAAATTCACACAAAAATTCATACTTAATAACTACTTTCATGTTGTAAGAAACAAATTCAATCAAAAAAGTGTAAAAAAAGGGGGAAAATTAAAAAAAAAAAACAAAAACAAAAAAAACAGAGGAGAGAGAAAATAAAAAATGAAGGAGAAAAATAAAGGAGAAGAAACCTAATGTTCACTTTATGAAAAAGCTAATGTTCATATTGTACTGTTGTTACACCTATGCACCTAAGAATTTGTGGTTCAAAACAGCTCCAAAAGAGGCCTTTATAAAGAAAGGAAAGCAAACTGGTCTAAATAGGTCCAAACATGGACCGAGCCTGAATTTTCAAGTCTGGCCCGGAACCGGACCGACAGATTTAGGTCCATTAATGGTCCGCGTAAATCGGACCAAATTGGTTTAGATCCAATCCGGTTTAGGATCGGTCCGTAGTAACAAGAAAATTAATAATTACCATTTTTACCATTTATTATCGGCAACCAAACATATTTCAAGGTATTGAACTAATTCTATACAAGCAAGACAAATTTATCACAGAGATTAAAAAAATATATATATACAATTCAAGTGACAATTACGTAAATAAATCAATAAATTGTTATTTACTAAACTACTGTATTTCCTAAACTTGCAATTTTGTAAAAACATTAATTATTGATTTATTTACAAAATTGCCTCTTAATTTACATTTTTTTTTAATAAAATTAGTTTTTCTTAATACAATTGAGGAGATAAATCCTAAAATGGGATTATTATTATTATTTTTATTTAAAGTGTTTTTTTTTTTTTAGAACATTTTTATTTAAAGTGTTACAATTAACTGATTATTTCTCCCTCAAGAAAAAAAGTTGTAAAAAAATGTTATCAGAAAATTGGGCGATAACACATTTGGTAATGTGCGGTAAGCTTGTACTCGTAGCTTAAAAACCATTTTCACAGCCCGTGAAAACCCAGAATCTCGCCGCCACTTCCATTCTTCAACTTCACGCCGCCGCGGTCGCCGTCGCAACCGCCATTATCACCTCCGTCAGTCCCATCCTTCCACTTTCTCTCTCCTCAATAATGGCACTCCAAACCGAAGAACCCAACCCTATCCCCAACAATGGCGACGCCGACGACGAGCCAAAACCAGAGGAAGACGACAACAACAATGGAGAAGAAGAAGAAGACGACGATGAAGAAGATGAAGTCGCAGACGAAGACGACGACTACGACGATGAATCTCGTGCGACGGCGAAATCAAATATAGGGTTGAATAAGGAAAAAATGACGAAATTTGCGAATCGATTGAGTTCTGAACCAATAACCCTAAGAGTTCATGATGTGATTATCAAAGGGAATCTTAAAACTAAGGATTCTGTAATTGAAGCTGAGATTATGGATGACCTAAAACGATGTTCTACACTTCAGGAGATCTTTCAAGCTGCTGCAATGGCTAATTTGAAACTTCGGCAGCTTGATATTTTCGATACGGTTAATTTTACGATTGATTCTGGACCGACGGAGTTGCCTGGTACTGCCAATGTTGTGATCGATGTTTTGGAGACGAAGAATCCTCTCACCGGTGAAATTGGGCTGTTCACTAAGCCTGGGGTAATGTTCTGTTCATCACATTTTGATCATATTATTTGAATTTATTGTTTTGTTTGAGTTTTGTTCTCCTCAAGTGAATTATCAGATTGCTGGTTGTACTTTTGTAGTGGTTTGACTTTTGATGAATGTTGTATGATAATGTGGTATGTCTATAACAAATTTGGGGCGAGGATAGGGTATTGGTGTGGAATCGAGGTATGAGTAACTGACGAGAATTAGCATGATTAGAACCTCGAGGGTATGATACTGGTTTGCAATGTTGATCCTTTGGTAGAATTTTTTTTGGATGAATAATTTGGGTTATAAGGCTTGATTGTAAGTTTGTGAGGTTAAAGTTTTGATTTTGGACGGTGATAAACTTATAAACGCTATGGGAAAGCGTTGCTCATGCAAGTCCTGCAACCCAAGATTGTTAGAATGACTTGACTGTCTATGTAGTTGGTATAAGGGGCTAGTGATTTCGGCCTTTCATTTTTGGATGCCCACCCAATTCACCGAAGTTTAGCTCCGACTACATTCGGATCCCACCCCGCTTATGGTGGGTGAGTCTCCCAATAAGAGTTTCTGCATACGGTGAGGTTCGAACCCAAGACCTCCTAAGCAACATCAAGTTGCTTACCACTTGAGCCATCTCTTGTGGCCTTGTTTAGCAGAAGTAGCTGTTAGGTGTTGTGGTCTCATGGTGAATGCTATCGCTTAGTTCTCCTGAGAGTTATTTGAGGTCAGTTTCAAATAACCTGCTTAAACTTTTGTATTTGAGTAAACTAGCTATTGTATTGGTAAAAAGGTGAACTACTGTATTATTTCTAAAGCTAACTCCACCTCTAGTTACTAAAATTGTTAGCTTTATCAAAACACTACTTCTATCATTTAAGCTACATTGGAGTTTTACTTTTAATGAAATCTATATTTGAACTTAAAACTCTGATACGTCACAGAGAAGTCATTGGTCTTCAAGAGTCTAGGGTTTTAGCTTTTTAGGTGCTTGGCCCACAATGGTAATTAATTATAGGGTTTTAGCATTGTTTACCATGTGTGTGTTTTTTAGTATAGAGTTTTTAATTCACTAAAATGATTGTTTTGTGTTGATATTGAAAAACTGTTGAAGTGCTTTGTGGAGATGTA